TAATGAACAACATAAACTGATGAACAAAAATAGAGCCAGAGGGGAACAAAAATATACTAGAATAAAATAGAAGTAATCCTGTTATTTGCATATTTTTAATATTTCCTACAACTTTTGTGATATCATACTATGTAAGTACAGTTTTGGTAATATTATTATATTTAAAATCCTTTTATTCTTGAAATATTAATGTTTATTCCATGTAATATTATTATATGTAAGATCAAAAAAAAAAATGGGCAGAGAACCTGAATAGACATTCCTTCAAAGAGGACATGGAAATGATGAAGAGACACATGAAAAAATGCTCAAAGTCACTAATCATTAGAAAAATCCAAATTAAAACCACAATGAGATATCACCTCACACCTGTCAGAATGGCTATCATCAAAAAGCAACAAACAACAAGTGCTGGCAAGGATATGGAGAAAAGGGAACCCTAGTTCACTGCTGGTGGGAATGCAGACTGGTGCAGCCACTATCTAAAACAATATGAAGTTTCCTCAAAAAATTAAAAATGGAACTTCCTTTTGACCCAGAGATCCCACTTCTGGGAATATATCCTAAAAACCCAAAACACCAATCAGAAAGAATATATGCACCCCTATGTTCATAGCAGCATTATTATAATAGCTAAGATTTGGAAACAGCCCATGAGTCCATCAGTAGATGAGTGGATAAAAAAAAGCTGTGGGACATTTACACTATGGAATGCTATGCAACTGTAAAAAAAGGGATCTCTTACCCTTTGGGACAGCATGAATGGACCTGAAAAATATTATGCTAAGTGAAATAAGCCAAACTGAGAAAGACAAATATCACATGATCTTACTTATTTGTGAAATCTAATGAACAAAATGAATTGACCAACAAAATAAGACCTGAAGCAGGGAGGCATGGAACAGACTGGCATACCTCAATGTGGGGTTGGGAGGACAATAAGAAATTCGTGCATGTCGGGGGCAGGAGGGGGGGTTCCCTCAGCCCAGCTGTGCCCTCTCGCAATCCGGGACCCCTCGGGGGATGTCCAACTGCCGGGCCTAAACTGGCAGTCGGACATCACTCTCGCAATCCAGGACCCCTCGCTCCTAACTGCCTGCCTGCTCGCTCCTTACCACCCGCTTGCTTGTTCCTTACTGCTTGGATCACCACTCCTTAGCGCTGCCACAGAGGTGGGAGAAGTTCCTGCCACCGCCAGTGCGCTCGCCAGCCGTGCGAGGCTCCCACAGTGTGGGAGCACACTGTCCACCAGGGGCAGTTCCTACTTTGAGCATCTGCCCCCTGGTGGTCAGTGAGCGTCATAGTGACCAGTCGTTCTGTCTTAACGGTCGCTGGGCTTTTATATATATAGATATCATAGCCTATGGACACGGGCAATAGGGTAGTGAAGACCTAGGAGGCTGGGTAAGGGCTGGGAGGAGAGGGGAAGGGGGAAAATAGGAGATACCTGTAATATTATCAACAGTGAAAGATATTTTTTTTAAAAATTTTTAATTAAAAAAAGAAAAGTTTAAGTGAAAACCCTGTTGTCCTGGATTTGAATTAGAAATATCGATATGAACTCATAAATTAGTCTTACTTTCTTAGCTTTATCCAATGAAAGAGTCTAGAAACCATGACCAGCCCAGAAGCAAATGGCACACCTATTAGCCAGAATATAGTTTCAAAATACCACTCTTCACTAAAAGAACCAGGAATTCTTAGATAGGTGGCCAATTCAAGATCTGGGACTACATAATTATAAAATAGATTGAAATATATCTTAATATCTTTTAATATTTTTAATATACTTTAGGAAGTTCTCAAAGACAACTGAGTTTATGACCAGAGGACTCAAGAGCCAAATTTTAGAGGCTCCTGCTAGCCATTGATGGGACATCAGTGAGCATCAGGAAAAAGAATAACTACCATAGATTGAATGAAACACATCACATATGTTAAATTCATCCATTTATAAATTATAATAATAATAAACTAATAGGTCACCAATAGAGAATGTTAGAGGAACCAACTCATTGTTCTGAAAACTGATAGATAAAAGAAAAGAGTCAAGCATTTACTAACAAACAAGCTGTACCACTGGGTAACGGGAGAGTAATGGCTAGGGCATGGTTGGGGAAGGGGAGGAGTCTTTAGCAAAGACTACAGTAATATAAGAAGAGATAATCGAATATAATCAGCATTTTTCAACCCTGAATGAATTAGAAGATCTGGGCTTTGCTCATCAGTGGCTGCTGACATCCCCAAAAGACAGGCAATTATACACATCCTGAGAAGCAGTCTCACCAAAAAAATCAAACCTTTCACCCGTTAAGGCCTCTTCTAGATCCAACTTCCATTTTACAGGAAATACAGAAGCCAGAGGAGCATGTTAAACTGTCCCATGAGGATGCAGTCAGCAAAATCCTGACTCTGCCAGACAAATGACTCAGTGCAAGGGGAGAAAGCGCAGAAGAGGGGAACTTATTGATTAAAAGGGATAAAAAAAGGCGTATCAGTCAACTGCAGTGTGCAGATCTGATATGGATTCTGATTTTTAAAAAAAATATTAAAATTTTATGAAATTCACAAGATAAGTGAAAATAGGAACATTGGCTATCTACAGGGGTGGGCAAAAATCAGTTTACAGTTGTGAGTATGCAAAAGTTTTTTCTTGTAGTATTATTTATTAACTAGAGGCCTGATGCATGAAATTCGTGCAAGGGGCTTGGCCCCCACCGTGGTGGCGGCGGCTACCTCTGCCTCAGCCCCCGATGCTGCGGCTTGGTACAGAAGGTTGTCCGAAAGGACGTCCAGAAGGATGTTTGGTCTAATTAGCATATTATGCTTTTATTATTATAGATTATTGTATTATTTTCCATACAAACAACTGTAAACCTACTTTTTCCCGCCCCTGTATTTAAAAACTACGGAATTGCCCTGGTTTATGTTACTCAGTGGTTAAGCCTGAACCAAAGGGTGGCAGGTTTGATTCCCAGCCCTGGTCAGAGCGCATATGGGAGGCAACCAATGTATGTGTCTTTCTCGCATCAATGTTTCTCTCTCTCTCTCTCTCCTGCCTCTCTCCCTCCCACCCTCTTTATAAAAAATCAATGGAAAAAATATCCCCAGATGAGGATTAACAAAAAAATAAAAACAATAGGAACTATGTATTATTAATTTCTAGGTGTGATAATGGTATTGTGGTAATTTTTGGTTGTTGTTGTTAATCCTCACCTGAGGATATTTTTTTTCCATTGATTTTTTTTTCTTTTAGAGAGAGTGGAAGGGATCAACTCTGCAACCTAGGTATGTGCCCTTGACCAGAAACGAACTCACCACACTTTGGTGCATAGGCCAACACTCTAATCATTAAGAAACACTGACCAGGGTGGTATTGTGGTAATTTTTATGGAGTCCTTATGTTTTAGAACTACAAACTGAAATATTACAGAAGACATGATATGATTTCTACATTTGCTTCAAAATAATCCGAGAAGTGGACGTGGGTGGGTGTAGCTGGGACATGACTTGAATGATTTGATGGGTGTTGAAACTGGTTGACAGATGCATAAGAGTTTGTTTGACTATTGTCTCCTTTTGGAGATGTTTGAAATTATCCATTAGTTGTCCTCTGCAGTGTCTGAGCTAATAGACTGCCAAGAAATCTAACCTTCTCCCTTTGTGCCCATGCAGTGCTCCAAGAGCTGCCAGGGGGGCTTCCGGGTCCGGGAAGTACGCTGTCTGTCAGATGACATGGCCCTAAGTAATCTCTGTGACCCTCAGCTGAAACCAGAAGAGAAAGAATCCTGTAACCCTCAAGACTGTGTCCCTGAAGTCGGTAAGTAGGGATCCTGGAGTAAAGACGCATCTGTTAAGCTCTGTCAAGTTCTCTGGTGTGAAATGCCACATCCATCTGGAGTTCAGGGGTCAAAGTACTTTTGGTATGTTAAGTTTATAAGCCTGGATGGTGAGCCAAGCCACCCACCAAAAAATAAACTTAAATGTGAATTGATTAAAATGGTAATGCATTCAGAGACTTCGTTCCATCATCCTTAAGGTCAGAGTAGTGAGATTTTAATGTCATGTTTAAAGAAAAAGAAAAAGCCCTACCTGGTTTGGCTCAGTGGATAGAGCATCAGCCTGTAGCCTGAAGGGTCCCAGGTTCAATTCCAGTCAAGGGCACATACCTCAGTTGCAGGCTCCTCCCCAGCCTGGACCTGGTCAGGGCACATGCAGGAGGCAATCGATGTGTTTTTCTCACCTCGATATTTCTCTCTCTGTCTTTCCTTCTCTCTTCCACTCTCTCAAAAATCAATGGAAAAATATTCTCAGTTGAGAATTTTTAAATAATAATCTACATACTAGTATATAAAAGGCTAATATGCAAAGTGTCCCCTTGGGAGTTCGACCAGGAGACCGGGAGTTCAATCACTCACTATGATGTGCGCTGACCACCAGGGGACAGCACAGAACATGGCGGGTGGGTGGCAACAGGGCGCGGAGGGAGCGAGGGAAGGAGGAGACGGGGAGGCGGGGAGGCGGAGAGGTGGGGAGGCAGGGAATCTGATTGGCCCTGATCGCTGGCCAGGCTTAGGGACTCTACCTGTGCACAAATTTCCTGCACTGGGCCTCTAGTAATAATAATAAAGAAAAAGAAAAATGCAAGCTCTTAGTGCACACCCACACTCCATCAGCAATAGGCAGCAGGACCAGGATGGAGAGCCCTCACCTCACTTTCTCTCCCCAGTAGTCCAGGCTGCCCCTCGTGCTCAGAGCATCTTGTTCTCTTCTGCTGCAGATGAAAGCTGCAAGGACAGATACTACAACTGCAACGTGGTGGTGCAGGCCCGCCTCTGCGTCTACAACTACTACAAGACTGCCTGCTGCGCCTCATGCACTCGCGTGGCCAACAGGCACGCGGGCTTCCTGGGGAGCAGATAACACCCCCGCACCTACCCAAAGAGCAGAGCAGCAAGTCTGTAAGAGGGTGACTGGCAGGCTGCTGATCCACCAGGGGCTCCCTGGCCCAGGGCGCTGCCAGCCAATTTGGTCACCAGCCCCGCCTTCAGTAAAGTGTACACGCGGTGCCCAGGCGCAGAGCCATCAACTGAGCATCGCCATCAACTGAAGTTCTCTCCTTGGGAAACCTGGCAACCTCTAACAGTGCTCTCTGAAAACCAGTCAGGGGGGCGTTCAGGCAGCTCTCAGCCAACCCCTCCTGGCACTTTCTAAGGCAGCAATTTAGCCCTGACTGGGCACTGCCTCCCCCAGGGGGCTATTGACCTTTCCAATATCAGCACCTCCTGGACAGTCAGAGGAGGCAGCACCCCTACCCCAAGGCCCCACGAAGCCTTGCTGAGATGCCGGCATCCCTGTTACCTCAGCCCCGCTGTGCCTGTCCTCTTTCTCAAAGACATTAAGTTGTTTGCCTGCCTCATGACACAAACATCTCATGTCATGCAGTGCTTTATTGTTTCACAGGTATATTCACAGATATTAATTCCTTAGCAGCTTACAACACCCCAGAAGGGAGGCAGGGAATGAATCGTCCCATTTTACTAGCAAGGAAACTGAGACTCATTGACCTCCCAGCCATATTCACCTGTTCAGTGGCAGAGCTGAGTCCCAACCCCAATCATCGGACCACAAAACCCTGACCCCAAGGCCTGTCCAGAAGTCTTAGGTCTGCAGGATGCGGCTTCATTTCAGACCAAGAGTGAGAATTTCCTAATTAGCAAACGAAACCCAGGTCTTTGAATTCTTCCCTCCAACCAAAGGTCAAAACTTTATCCCAGCATCAGTTGTTTCAGAAGTCTGTTTCCACCAATCCCTCCCCCCACAGTCGCAGGCCCTCATCACAGGACTCCGAAGCTTTCATTAAGCCCCGTCCTTGAAGAAACTCTCCCCTGAGACCATAAGGGCGCTGGGTATCACAGTCATTGCCTGAAATTCTGACTTCATTCCCCAGTGAGATGTTTTCCCTGGAACCAGAAGTCAGGGTCCCTTTGGCAACAACAGTCCCTTTCTGGTCCCAGAGCAGGTTTCCAGAGCTGTGTGCTCAGCCCCTCCTCAGCCACCCTCCCGGGCTGTTCTCCACACGTGCCTGGTGGAAAGTGTAACCAACCAACACCTGCAAAAACCTCGTTTCTATTAGAAAGTGTCTCCCTTTGGTCTTTTTGGTTTGATTTATGGACTTCTCTCTACTACTTCAAATCCTTCCTTTCTCACCCAGGACTGACAACCCATGTCCCGCCCCCCTCCCAGACATGAGCACTAACACCTACATTAATGGAGCCAGTCTGAGAGGAGGGGCTGTGAGCTGCAGTGACAGCTGCATCAGAGGGCTCTTCCCTGACTCGCCTCACCTAACTCTGCAGCTCCAGGGCCTGCGGGGGTCAGTAGGGGGTGGGGGTACAGTGCCTATTGAGAGATGAACTCTTTGAAAAATCCATTAAGAAGAAGAAAATATATGTACATATTTTTTCTTTTACCCATTAAGATAAGTACCAGGCTAAACAAATTGTAAGCTCTTAGTACTGTGGTCCTGGGCCCATTTCCCTTTTAAAGCAAGCCTTAGCAATTGAGTTTCTCCCACGAGCCCTTTAAACCAGAATCTGCTAATTAGATGATCACTTGCAGTTTTTGGAAGCAGTATCACCAGTCAGTCTGACACACTCTGTTTCCAGGGATTCTCTTTGGCTTTCTTGTGGCTGTCCTCTTCCTGGGGAGCCCCAGCACCACTTCCCAGAAGCACCCCATCTCTCCTGGTTCTTATGGGACTCCTGCAGAGAAGCAGGCGCGAAGAGGCCCGGCTCCTCCGGCCACCAAGTGTGTCAGTGATTTCATCCCGTGCCCCCCCCCCCTTCCTTTCGCTAGAAGCTTTTTGCTTCTAATCACAAGGGGAGTTTGTCCTTGACGCAGCTGCCCTCGGAGCCTGCTGAACAAGCCAGCCATCTGCTGGAGTCCTTGCAAGAGGCTGTCTTTACACGTGGGAGGGCAGGTGGGTCAGTGGGTGGGAGAGCAGGAAGGCTGATTTCACCTCAAATTAAGGGAAAACCTTGTAGCCATACCAGCTGCCCAACAGAGGTGTGGCCACCATCTGTGAGCGCGCTCCACCCGAAGTGGGACCTCTCTGTCGCGTGGGAGGTGAACATCCCGGTTCCCTCCACCTCGGGATGCTCATGATGCGCTGGTCAGTGGTGGCTTTGTCTCTGACATCTGACAACGTCCATGGCTCCCAAATGCTACCTAACATTTCTTTAAAGGCACAGCGATCCTTCCATGATGACGGCCATTGTGGAATTGGGTCGGGGGATCTCATGACTTTGGGGGAGGGGGCAGAAGTACCTAAACTCGGGGGCTTTATTCTCTTCCAACAAATAGCTGAGCTATTCTTGGAATTCATATATCTCTGGAAAGTTTATAAATTACTAGAACGGGGGTTTTATTCGTTTATTTGTCTTAGAAATCCAATTTTTACTAATTTCCTAGCTTCTCGTGTCAGCATCCAAATGCCTTTGTCCTTAGCACAGCACATCAGATAAAGTCCTTTGATATTTCCAGTGACGACGACGTGCCTGTGTAGGGAGTCTAAGGAAAGCTCCCCTTTTGGTGGCTCCCTCCCTCCAGATGTGTCTCCTCGCCCTTTCCTAGACCCTATGATTTTGCTTTCTCCTCTGCATTACTTGCCACCCCCTTCTCAGTCCTCTCCATGATCTATTAACTGGCCACAAGGCAAAACTGAAATTTACATTTGATGGTGCTTTTTTTTTTCTTCTGTGCACTGGATTGCCTCGTTCTCTGCCCTGAATTTTAAAATTAGGTGAATTTAAGCTGTTACCTGTTTTTCTCACAAACATCAACAGAGCTCTAAACAGAAATAGTTTCTCTGCCCTCAGGGACCTGCAGTGTGACAGGAGCTCTCTGAGCTGTTCCCAACTGTGCCTTTGCCTTCTCTGGCCTGGGTTCTTTCTGAGTTTTCCTTTTTCATTTCCTTGAATATGTATCATTTAGGTATCCTCAGAGTGTTCAATATTCAGCACTCTTTTTCCTTTAAAACAAATGGCTTTATAGATGGATGAAAAAATGGGAAGCAAGCTTAATTTATTTCCATGCAATTGTGTGGCAGAGAGAGAAATCCAGATATTATTAATATTACTAGTATCATGCTAAGGCAATGTCTTTTTTTTAATATGACCATTTTAGAATTTAAATATCAGTTCTTTAATGTGGAAGAAGACACAAATATAAGTGGTAAAAAGAAATAGGACTTACCTTAAAACAGGCTTCATACTCAAACCTGAAGGAACCTATGCCAGCATGGCAGGTGGAAGCCAACATTTGATCCGTGCTGTGTAAAACATTGTCAATGTGGCTGGCGGGGGGAATAGTGCCTTGCTGGTGAAATTCGTAGATGGCATTGGCATTGGAGAGCTAACAGCATGGGTGGCAGGTTCTGGACCCAAATGATCGGGGAGACTATTGACCAGGAAGCAACATATAGTCCTACCTTTGGGTTAAAAAAAAAATACTATACAAGTACAAGGTGCGGAAGATATAAGAGTTTTGGTTGACTAAGCTCAGTGTGAGTCAGGAAAGTGGGATGGAACCACAACAAAATTAAACACAAAACACTTGGGCTACATAAGGAGAAGACGTTGGTGAGCGTGTGCCATATTGTGGGGAGTGTCACCTGTGTGTAACATTCAGCTGAGCGTGCCCAGTCCTGATGAGCGGTGCAGGCTGGTCAAAACAGAGGAAAAGACTTTATGAGAATGTTTAGCCTGGAGTCCTCGGGATAGCCATCCAGGAACAGGAGATAAATCTACAGGGAGGCAGATTTCAACTCTTGCAGAAGAGCCGGCTTTCTGCAAGTTAGAGCCTTCAAGAGGTAGAGCCTCTCTGGCCGGTGGTGGTTGACCTGTCGCTGGCGGTCTCAGCAGAGGCTGAATGGCCCTTTGTCGGGGATGCTGGAGAGGGGATTCAAGCACGCAGCTGGGGCAATATGACTTAAGGTCCTTACCAAGTCTGGGTTTGGGTGACTATAAGTAGAACAGTTTTAAATGGTTCTTCCGGTCTGGAATGGCCGGTGCAGGCATGCCTACTTCCCATTCCTGTGTCTGCAATTTGGACCCTGTGTCGCACCCCTCCAAGCTCAATGCAGCCACTAGGAAACTGGTCAGAGCTGCCCTGACTGGTCCTGCTTTGTAGACGAGTAACCAAATGTCCCGATGGACAGTTCCATGCCCAGGGTCACATGCCTTGATGGTGGCAGAGCCTCTACTAGACTAGGACCCTCTAATACCATCTTTGTTTCTCAATTCACCTTCCTTTCCTGCACCTTTGCTAGAGCAAAGCAACCCTCTCCACCCCGAACAGTCCCACCTGCGGGTTACAGTGGGAGCCGTCCTCCGTGCTGAGGAACATGACCGTGAGAGGCTGGGAACTTCCAACCACTTCCTCGCCATCTTCCAGACTGAGCCCTTCGCCTCAGTGAGAGGAAAGCCATCCTGTTACATAACTAACCGCACCTGCCTTGACCCCCACGCCCCCACCATTCAGTTTGACAGAAGGATATACTTTGTTATAACTTATTATTTGTTCTTTGTAAATACAAGATGTTTATAGGAAATGTGTATTCTGAACTCTATTGACAGAATGAGTCACTACACCAAAATAGTTCTCTTATTTAGAATAAGTTAATTTTAAAGGGACCTAATAGGTATTTATTTACATATGCAATCCACGTTTGTGTAAAATCATTTGATCCTACTAACCCAGCTTCCTGGAAAGTTGCTACACAACGTCTTACCCTAAGTCCATAGTTACGATTTGTATACTGATTAGTCAAATTCCTTGGGTTTTAAGATGGAATATAAATTACTTGGCTTTTCGACTTGCTCAGGGCTTTTTCCCCCTGGCATTGTATCCGTCTAGATTGCCACCTTTTCATCTTAAATATTTTATTTGCTCATATAATATGCCCTCTCTTCATGCCCAAACACTTGGAAAAGGAAATATGAGGGTCTTTCCCTGTCTCCTCTGTCTTGCCTCCTTCATGAGAGTCACCAGCAGTGAGTTGCGGGAGGCTCGGTTAGAGCCCTGGGCGAAGCAGAGTCTCCCTCCCTGCAGGGCCCGGGGGCATGAAGATGCATTTACTGACCGCCCTGTCTCCGGGCCCCCTGGGCACTGCTGAGTGGGGACTCTGGGCTTTCCTATCAATAACTGCATAGTCAGGAGCAAGGAGCCCCCTGAGTACTCCACTGACTGTGTCACCTTGTGATGTTAAATTATTGTTTAAAGAGGTGGAATGTGAAGGTGAATTATATGAGTAAGTACCGTCTGTTTTCTCTTCAGCAAAAAGGACAACTATTTTTGTGTATGACTAATTTATTTTTATTATTGTAAAAATACAATAAACTGGTTAAGAGATCAGCTTTGTTAACACATTTGTGCTCACATTGCTTCAGACAGCCCCCTCTACAAAGAAGAACCGGGCCCTTTAGAGGTGGTTGGCTTGTCAGACTTGTGTTCCGGGCGCTCTGGGGGCGGCGGGGCCACTTGGAGGACAGGGTGCTCCTTAGACACAGAGGCTGTGAGCCTGTGGTCTGTGCAACTCCTCAGCGTGGCTGTGAGAGGATCCCCGGGGGAGCTTACGATAACATATTCAGGAAAGTGGCTGCCCCCAGGGTGGCCCTTTTCTGGTCTCTTCTTAAACGTCCCTCAGGCAGGAGAAAAGGTGGGGCCCACTGTGCCACTCAGTGTGGCTCCATCTCCCAACTTGACTAAAACTTCCTCCAGCTTCCCTCGGGCTGACTTCACCTTGGTCGCAAGTTTAGCAAAGTGTTTGACAAGATCTTTCAGGTTATCATGGTGTGTAATAAAGTGACTCTGACTTAGGTCATGACACCTCTGGAAAGTCGCTCTGGCCTAGATCGCTAGTGGAGTGCCTACGAGCTCTGTCCCGACTCCATCCTGCACAGCATTTCATCAGTCACTCTCAGAAACTTATTATTATGCCTGAAATGTGCTTTCCAGCCCTCCCACCCACCTTTTTCCTGCCTGGAAAAATCTTCATTTACTGTTTTCAATTGTGGTAAAATTCATGTAACCTAAATTCTCTTACTCGTCTTAAAGTGTACAATTCAGTGGTGTTTAATGCATTCAGTGACATGCAACCTGCTGCACAACAGTTTCATTATCTCCAAATTCCATCTATTCTGCAATACCCAAACCCTGCTGAGCACTCTTACACACTCTATCTTGGTGACTCTTCACAGCAGACCCGAAGTTAGAATGTTATCCCCTTTGATAAATGAGAACTCAGAGCGGTTTGGTGCAGCTGCCACTTGGTGGCACCAAATTTCCACAGTCAGCTTCCCCAGAGGCGGCCTGTCTCCCCAGCGCCAGCTCCCCAGGGCCTGGCATGCTCATGGTCCAAGCCCGTGCTAGTTCCGGTCTCTCTCTCCACACCAATTCCAATCATTGGACAGTGGCTGCATGGGCACTGGATGGGTGCTTAGCTGTTGATGACATGTCTGTTATGGTTTAGTTTTACCAAGCTTGGTATGACCGACCTGGTCCTAGGCTGCATTTGAAGATACGCAATCACCACCCAGAGGGAGGAAATGCGCCCTTCTCTGTTCTTGGGACCAGACCCAGATGGATCCCTTGGGCTCCAGTTCAAGGGACCACACGCCATACACGTTGATTGAACTCCAGGAAAGAACCCAGAGATGGTGGCCAGGATGGTGATTGGAATGGGGGGTGTCTAGAGGGGAAACTGTCTTCAACCATCTTCAGAAATCTCCAGAACTATCGGGATAGAAGACAAGAACCTGACAGCAGATTAGCAAAGAGAAGGGGCAGGGAATTAAACTTGGCTCAGAGAAGAGTTCCTGTAATAGAAGCTTCACAGTGAGTAAGGCATTTTGAGTGACTGTGAGACCCTCAAAAAAAACATTTGGGCAGAGGGAAAATTTGAATATGGACTGTAGTTAGGATGACACAGTGGAATCGTGTAAAACTTCTTGGATGTGGTGACTGGTGTCTAGTCGAGCAGGAGTGTGCGCTGCTGCAGTCTTGAGGGTCAGAGGCCCTGATGTCTGCAAATCACTCTCCTGGCGGCTGGCACCGTCGCCGTGTGAGTGCCCCTCTGTGGGTAGACCGGGTACATGCAAATAAGGTGAACACACTGGTGGATACGAACAAAGGGCATGTGTGTTCATTACACTATTCTTTACTTTTCCAAGGTTGGACATTTTCCAAAATAAAAATTGGGGGGATAAATTACAAAATAAGATAGAATTAAGAGAACTAACTTTTTTTTTTCAGTTTTCACATTTGTCTAATGACCTAATCACCTGGAGTGCTCCTCAACACGCCTGAGCTCTCTAAGGGCACACAGACACCCTTGCTCCTCTCTCCCACGGTGCCTTGTGCAGCTGTGTATCCGGCACCGGGACACGCCAGGGCACCCACAGAGGCGAGCACAGTGTCCGTAAGGCCAGCTCGTGCCCCAGGTGATCCTCAGGTCAATACCTTTACTGAGCACCTGCTATGTGCCAGATATCCTCCAGGTCCTTTACATGGTGTCGTTTAATCTTCACAACTCTTAAGAAATGAGCACTTCATTTTGTGGCCATTTTATGGATACATAAATTGAGATTCAAAGAGAGTAACTTGACCAAGGACATAGCCATTAAGTGGCAGGGTCAGCCTTAGGTTTTTATCATGCTTCATTTTGTAACGAAATCAACTATATTTTAATTAATGTTGGGACTCCCTCCCCGCCCCCCCCCTCAGATACTCTAGTCTTCAGTTCTTGAGGGTGAAGACCAGGCATTGGTGTCCTGGAATTAGCAGGGAATTCTGGGGCTGAGAACTACTGGGAAGGGTGTGTGAGTCATCTGGGTCTTGCTGGACTTCACTTTCTGATTCGATGACTGGGATGTGGCCTGAGATTCCGCAGGTCTTACAAGCTCCCAGGTGAATCTACTGCTTTGAAAATGAGGCACTTAAATTAACCCTTAAGAAAGTTGCAGGTTTCCTTGTTTTTTATTGGGAAGTTGAGCCAATGACTGCGGAGATTCTTTATGAAACAGTGATCTATAAAGTTGAGATTCTTCTCCTTAATCTACTAGTTTGTTCCTTCACTCAGTGAAACACAGAGACTCTGAAAGTGTTGGACATCTTTTTACACACGACGTGCATTATTTAATTTCTTAACCAGATAATCTGTGTATCATCCAGGCATTCATTTGGCCACACTTCGAAGAAAACCCGACTACACTGACTTAGGGGTTTGTTTTTCTTTGGTAGCGAGAAGTCAGAAGGAAAGCAGTTGCTGGCATCGGTCGGCTTCTCTGCAGTTCTCTTGGCCTCTTCCTCATGGTTGCAAGACAGCTTCTCCGGCTCCAGCTCTTTCACCCAGCTTCAGGGCAGGAGGAGGCAGGGCAATAGCACCTGCATTTGTCTCCATTTACTAAGAAAGCAAACATGTTCCTAGAACCCCTCCCCCCAGCAAACAAACTTCCACTTAGATCTCATTGGCCAAAAGGGCTCCATGCCATCTTAGCTGCAGCACAGAGGAAGGACTGTCCTGATTAGCTCTGACCAATCCGCATCCACCCGCAGATGCTGGACACACGGTGGCGCGGGCACAGGGTGAGAGCACAGACTTGTGGGGAGGAGCAGCGGAGTCCAAGCCCTGCCCTGCCCTCTCCTCCGCGCTGCCCTGCGGGGAGCTGCTCCTGATGTGGCGTGAGGCTGTACATCTCCCCTTAGTCAACAAATATTTATTGAGCACAAACCTCGTGCCAAGCACAGTTTGGGGCACTGAGTCAGGTAGACTTTACAAAATGCTGTGCAACCTGAAACTTTTGCAGATTAAGGAGACACCCCCGCCCCCAAAGAAGCCAGATGGAATCAATGCAGCCAGGCTTCCAAAATAAATGGCAAATAAGCGGACGTCATATCTGCCTCTCCTTTTCCTGACAGCTGGGATGGACGGTGCTCGGCAGATTTTATTTCGGACCAGGCAGGCAGGGAACGCGCACTGGCAGTGCCTCCTCTGTGCAGCACCACCAACACCTCCTTTCATACTGACACCCACCTGGCAGCGGGGGACGGATCTCCAGCCGGGAGAGCCGGGTCTCAGCCAGATGAGGAAACCTACTTGTGATCACACAGGTCAAAGGGCTGAGGAACTCAAACCCACGTCAAAACTTATGCCTGTTCCTCTTCAACGCTCACTCTCCATGTGTGAAGTGAAAGTCCTGTTAAAGCTACACTTGACTCCCTGAGTGTGTGCTGCGCGTTACAGCCGAGACTGCTGTGCCTCACAGAGGCTCCCTGGCTTCGGGCGGAGAGCTGAGGGCTCTGGCAGCTCTTCTGTGACATTCTCTCTTTCACACCATGGCCTCCAGGAAAGATGCTTTCCTGCTACTTCTGTGACCTGCTTTTACGGTGATTGTAAGCCCGGAGTCAATCTCTCACCCTGACAACAGAATTCGTGGCTCCTAGCTCCACCTGAGCCCTGGGTGGTCTTCCCTGTCTAACTTTTACTCTCATCTTTGCCTTGTGGCTCTCTGACCCATGCCCCACTCACCCCCAATTTATATTCTCAGGTAACAATCCTGTTTGTCTTACCTATCCTATATAATAAAAGCCTAATATGCTAAGTGTCCAGTCATCCATTCAACTAATCAAAGCATAATATGCTAATGATATGCTAAGGCTGCTCAACCACTCACTATGACATGCACTGACCACCAGGGGGCAGACAATCAACAGGTCGACCAGTCACTATGACATGCACTGACCACCAGGGGTCAGACGCTCCAACTGGTAAGGTTAGCTTGCTGCTGGGGTCCAGCTGATCGGGACTGAGCGAGACAGGACGGACATGCCCTGGAGCCCTCCCACAGTTCCTCCCCAGCTGGCCAACCTCCCCCGTTCCTCCCTGGCCCTGATCATGCACCAGTGGTGTCCCTCGGCCTGGCCTGCACCCTCTCCCAATCTACGACCCCTCGGGGGATGTCAGAGAACTGGTTTCAGCCCAATCCCACAGGTCAGGCCGAGGGACCCCACTGGTGCACGAATTCATGCACCGGGCCTCTAGTTACTATATAACAAACTATCCCCCAAACTTAGTGGCTTAATACAACAGCCATTTGATTAGTCGTCATGATTCTGTGAGTCAGGTGCCAACAGGTACGCTGGGCACAGATCCTGTCTTCTCCTTTCGATATTCACTGTGGCCAGATTGCCCAAGGCAGCACCTTCACGCCTAGGCCTGAGGCCGGCTGAGCTGGTGGCACTGCCTTGCCCAAGGTCCTAGGTCTAGGGCAGCCGTGGGCAAACTACGGCCTGCGGGCCAGATCCGGCCCATTTGAAATGAATAAAACTAAAAAAAAAAAAGACCG